TCCAGAGCCTGCGGTAACAGCAGAGAAATGCTCTAAAGCTCCCGAATTAGAGAAGTCTTTTTTTTTTTTTTTCCCTACCAGTTTTTGTTTTGCTTAGCCTGTATACTGGGAAAGCATAGAGGTACAACACAGATGGAAACCAGCTCTGTTTACCTTAACTGGGGTGTTCATGCTGCAGTCTCATTTTTATGTCAATATTTTGATGTTTTCACTGCTGAATGTTTTAGCATGCACAGCCAAATACTCCAGGATTATAGACTGAGTCTGGAGAGGGAAAAATATCAAGACAGAGGACAGCTTTCCTTTTCTTTCTTTATGACTTTTAAAAGATAATAGAATAAATTACAGGTGAGAAACCCTTAAACACAATCTTTATTAAACTGTGTAAGTATAGATTTTTCTGTCTAGAGGATTTTTTGCTTACATTTCACTGTCTGGATAGTAATTACTGACAAACAAATGCCACCTTGTAGTTGTACTGCCTTTGCAGCAATAATAAAGTTGATTTTCACTCTGTCAACTGCTCAGTGATAATTTCCAGAAGTTATTTTTCAGCTACCGTTGTTCTACTTTGGCAGAAGATAGTGTACCCACATTTCTTGTCAGAAAGCACACTTTTATTCAGAAGAAAGGAAAAAAATGCATCCAGTGAATGACATTGGTAAAATAATGAAAAGAAAAAATACACAATACCAGTAATTTTTCAGTGTGTAGTACCTTATAAATACATTTCAACACCTTGTAACAATCACATTATATTTGATTTGTGCAAAAAATGCACAGATTTTTAGCTTAAAATATCTTTGATTTTTAAAATTTTTTTTTAACAATTTAATGTATCATAAGACCAATTCAGTCAGTGTAATCAGTAAGGAAACACAGTACCTACAACACATCAAGGCTAAGAACATGGAAAAACTATTCAAAATATAAGACCAAAAAATCTCACAAATAATAAAATTAACTTATTTTTCAGGGGAATGAAAGAGGTTTGTGTTTTATTTAAATCCTTTAACACACGATAAACTATATTCAAAAGGAAGGTTCCTTTGTTGGTCATGATGTTAAAAACTAAAACAAGACTGGGCATATATGTTAGAATTTAACACAAACTTTTTGAGATAATTGTGGAAAGCACAAAACTGTTTATCCTATTAGTAACTGACAAGTGATTGTGTATTCCTAAGTGTCTGCATTCCCTCTCAGTTCTCTGGCATATCACTAATTTGATGCAGATACCCTCTTGAATGACCCTGAAAAATCAATAAACCACCAACAGCAACATAGACAGATAGCCACACATATTAATTGTACTTAATATACAAGGTCAGGTTTTAAATTTGGGTGCTGGTGCTGATGTTTACAAATAAAATTGGTATTTGTATGCCTGGATGCTTGTTGAATAGCAAATGTAGAGCAGGAAAGTCAAGTCTGCATATAGCTTTTCAGTGTATTATCAGTGATTTTAAATACAGTATAAAATAGCTTATAGGCTATTATCTCTACAATTAATTTTGATATCCCCATAGCATTAAACCTCCTTAGACATTGACTATATTCTGAACCATCAATAAAAGGCACTTATGTAAGGTGAAATCTCAGCTCTGCTGAAGGTAAGACCAAAGCTCACTTACTTCAACAGAGCTAAAATTGTTTTATATTTATAGGCTAAACTTGCTAGCTTGCTACATTGCACTGGTTTTCACAGTGAACCATAATTCCCTTGAGGATTATAAGAGACTTGATTATCAAGAGGAGTCGCTTGCACTGATCCTGGCACATTGCTTGTTACAGGTGTTTGATTATCTTGCGCTACAGCAAAAGCATCACAGATTACAAATACATGTTCCATTTTCTGCGCATGCTCACCCTCTTTAGTGGGAGTTCACTGTGAATGTCTTTTGATTTCCAGTGAGTTCTGATATATGAGTTCAAAGTCATATTTATTATTATGATCCATCTGTGCATTTTTGATTTGCTACTTGCTCATTCAGATAACAGCATCACCAATGATCTTTAGGTGTAAATGTTGTTTCTACAATGGATAAGCATGGAAATGTTTAATTTCTATACTCTCATTTAGCCAAGTCTAGTGTAAAATATAGTATTTAGAAGAAAAAGATACTATCAAAATGATGTGATAAATATACACATCTATTTAATCTATACATTTTTTCCAACCAGTTTATCATAAGTTTATAGCTCCATTTTAATGCCTAAATTACTCTAATGATGACAACAGCAACATATCTTCTAACTAAAAAGAAATTAAATCTTAACCTAAATGTTCTGAATATATTTTGAGCAACACTATACTCTAAAGTAGACTCTTCTATGGTTTATATTTCAGAGTGCTGTAACACATATAACATTGTTACTATTTTACTACTAATATTAGTCAAAAACTACTTACAAAATGGTCAAATAAATGTTAGAAAATGGTATTCTATCATTCGTACAATGTCGAAAAAGAAACTTCAGCAATAATGGTAGATGGCTGTACATGTCAGTGTAGCTAAGGCTATTGCAGTTGGAATGGCAGGTCAGCAATGCATTGCCTTCTCTGATGCCCACTTTTGATTTCCTGTTTTCACAACAGGATTTATCACCAAAGGAAGCATTTCATTTCAGGATACTGTCGTCCTCGGAGTGGCAGTCTCTGGTGTTTAATAGACCAGAGACAAAGTAAAACCTCTTCGCAGAGTTTGTTGTCCTCTGTATTCTTCATAGACCTGAACTGGCCTCTTTGGGTATAGCTAATTGAAGAATTGTTTTTACATGGACTGTCACAGATGTAGAAAGGAAGTGGAAAATTATAACCTTAACTTCAGCTCATATTCCCTGAATTTTAATTGCTCAGATAAATGGCAATATGGATACAATTCAAAGCAAGGGATGACAAAACTCTGAAATCCTAAAAAAAGTTACTTGTACATTTAGAAGATTGTAACCGACTAACTTGTAACTAGCTTCAGTGACTTCTCTTGCTTTCACAATTAGGAAGTCCAAAATAGATTTTGATCTTCAATGAAGCTCTTACTTGCACAGAATTCTGCATCAGTCATTATCATAGATACAATCTGAAATGAAAATAAAATGCAAAAATATTAATATTGTGTAGTACTTCGACTACTTCAAGGATGAAGTTATTTAGTGTAATTGAATATAATTATTGTATTGTTTGAAATGCTCAACATACCATCACCAATATCATCGTAAATCTCTCCATCACTGTAAGTTAAAAAAGAAAAATAATGTATGAAAAATTGAGACATCAGATATATATTACTATTTGCATGCAGATACGAAATAGTGTAGCAGTATGGTGCAGACATACTATCAAGTAATTAATTTGCTAATTCAGAAAGTGCAACGATTATAGTAACAGAACAGCGTTGAGCAAGATGGTCAGGTCAAAGGATTTTCAGTGAAGGGTAGAGCCGGAAACCTTTCTAACATGAAAGATTTATTTTATGAAAACATTGGGTTTTTTCATTAAGTTTTTAAGTAGCTATTCTAACAAACTCATAGAGCTTTTTCCATAAAAAAATGAAATATTTTTTTATTTTTTAAAATGAAAACCAGAAAAGATGAGTAAAAAAAAAAAATCAGTATGCCCTTGAAATTCTTATTTGCTTCTGTACTTGGCAATGCTATAATGGTTTTGGGGAAGCTGCTCTTTAGATAATTAATTTAGGTAATTTCGATGAATGGTATACTCTCCATGAATAGGAATTTTCAAAATATGTCACTTAAATACATGAACAGGCCCATAGAAGCCAATAAGGCTATTTATATATATGTTAAACATGTGTATAAGTGTTTGCAGGCCTCAATTCTAAAAGTGACATCTGAATTGATATTTAAGGGTCTGACATAAAGCCCATTGAAGGAAATCAAGAGGCTTTGTCTGATTAGAAGATTTTGGATTAAAACCTAAATACTGAACTCCACGCAAATATTTAGAGCAACACTAAGCCAAATCTGCTCAATTCCAGTAAGACTAAAATAAAAATAAACCTAAAGAAAAATTGGTCCATTTTAGTTGAACATTTGAAAATGGCATCAATACACTTAATCACATTGATGTGCAGTTTAGTAATAGATTCTGTTACCAATAATGCTTAATTTATCTAATTTTTCATGGTTTAAACTAGAGTTTATGGTTGAGCAATAGAGAATGGGGCCATGGAAAATTTCCAGCATGTGTCCAGTTCCTGAGAAATCAAAACTTGGTAAAAATAAATCAATTTGCAGGATTACAATGACATACTAAAATAATTACATTTCACTTTTTTTTTTTAACAAACTGTTTAGAACAAAATTGAGTGTTATATAAAAAGGTTTCAAAAAGATTTTGAAAGATCTTTTTACTTACTTCTGAACTAAATTGCTTCTCAGAACATAGCCATCTGTAAAATTGAAATATATATGTATTTAAGTTAAATAGAAATATGCATGTTATTTCTTCTGTTGCTAGCACTACTGAAATGCAATTTTTCTCTTTTAGATATTTAAGATTGGTAGACATAATAGTTGGGTAACAATGTACAATGGAAATGTACATGAGGAAAATTTTTCTGTCTAATTTTAGTGTTAATTATTCTCATCTGCTTATGTAGTATAACATGGTGGGTTAGATAGGGAATCAGGATATTACAGTAGCTCCAAGACCTGTTACATGTCTGCTGTGCCAGGAACTTTACATATTAATAAAATATAATTTCTCTTGTTTCATTGCAATAGTTTCTATTGTGTACAAAAGTGTACACAGTGCTGAAAGGAGAATATAGTAATGTAGGTTATGCAAGATTAGGTTTTCATCTTGTATTTTAGTTTCCTGTTTGCATGAGAAGGGTGTGAAACAATAGATATTAACACAAAATATACTACAGTTCACAAACTACAGCACAAAAATATGGTGTAATAATAACCACCACATGATAAAATATATAATAATAAGTAAGAGAAATATGTATTATTTCCTACAGGGACAAAAAAGTCTTTGAGGTTATATACACCAATTAATTATCATAAACTGTAAATTGTTGAAAATTTTTTAATAAGCATATTGATAAGAACTGTTTGTATAGATAATGGAAATACCTTAGAAACGCTACTCTCTAGTGAATTATTCTGTTACTCTGTTGCATTGCTCATGAAATCAGATAAACTATACATATTCTTCTTCAATATATTTAATCTCTTGAAAAAAACACTTGCTGTCTTTAGTAAAAGGTATCTATTGAATTACTTGTCAATTGGTATTACATATAGAAAGAAAGAGAAAGCCATAACAATAATTACATATCTGTAGGTAAACTTTAGTATGTTGGCACAAATTTAGGACAGTTCTAAAGAAGAAATGTGACCTTGTGTTATATTTGAAATTGTTTATTTCTTTTATTCATTAGGAAGCTTAAATGGTCACACTAAAATGGCAGGGTTTTAGTAATTCATACACAATTCATGTGTTTTAGAATAAATTTACTACTTTGACTTGTCAAGTTCCTTGAATTCTTGAGCTGTAACTGCTCCATCTACTTAGGGGAACTGTTATATATTACCCAAAATGTCAGTTTTCTGCTAGTATTTCTGGTGGTGATCCTTCAGCTTAGTCTAACTGAATCCCCAGATCACCTTAAGGAATTATTTCCTTCTTCAAATGAATTTTTCTTTTCTGATGCATAAGACATGAAAGTATCTTTTCTTTTTTAAATGCACAGTAATTCCCATCTAAAGAATCTCATATTTTGTGTTAAGCCTTTTTAACATCCAAGCTCTAATTTTATTTTAACTGAAATTGCCCATTTCAAGAACTGTAGCTTTACAAGTAGGGGAAACCTTCCCTCGTAAATTGGCATCAGACACACACAAAGAGCTAGTTCTGTTCCCAAATACTGCTGAATTATCACAGTCTTCAACTGGGCAATGTTTTGATATATAAAAATGTCCTATGAATCCTGTATGGAATATTGTAAAAGTTATCTGACAAGACTAATATCCCAAATAGTTCTGTTAATAGTAATAAATAACAAATTCTTATGTAAAGCTTTCCTTCATAAAAAAATGCTTGCATAATTCATTTTAACTTGGCATCTTTCCATCTTAAAATAGGTAGATATCAGATAGTGCTATAAGTCTCAAATTTAAATACAGGTTTTTTTCCAGAATATGCTGTATTAATTGCTGTATAAAAAGTAGATTAGTGATTTGCCCTGTGAAGGCCATAATACATTAAGAACACTGCATTTTTAAGGAAAACGTCTGTCTTGTGGTAGAGCTTAAGGCTGCCTAAAAAGGAATTACTTTTTATTTTACACTAATCTGCATGAATGAAAAAAGTTATATGCATTTAATATTTCATTGCAGCTGTGTAAGATGAAATTTGCTTCATTTGCCTGTATTTCTATCTTCAGGGTCATGAAGATTTGATAGTTACATAGTAACATAGTTACATACTATTTGTGTAACATAGGTAGTTACATAAATTCCATTATAACATTTGCCTACTAGAAGTGTTAAAAAGGTAATCTTCAGTCAAAGAACCCAATGCTGCAGATTTTCAGTCACCTGCATATTCTCTAAGGCTGATTGCAGGTTGGTATACATAGTTAAAGCTCTCTCTGTTCAGGATCTTCTTAGCCTGGTTGTCTTTCCTCAGATTTTATTATCTGGGATAAAGGCATAGAAAATATTTTTTTAAAAAGAGGTCATATTTTAAAAATTCTCTTTAAGCAGAGTCCAATAGTTTTCAAGACTCCTGAAGTCTCACCGGGAATCATTTAAAAACATTTGGCTAATCTAATCTTCTCTGTTTCATCTTTTAATTTTCTCCTGTGAAACACATGAAAGCAAAATTATTTTGCTTATAGTTGTGGTGTACACAGTGTGCTTGCAAGCCAGACGCGCATCTGCCAGTCCTCCTACCAATGCAAAACAAAACCTAGGTTCTTCTGACAGTCCCTAGCCCCTAAATATGTGGGAGATACAGACCCCGCTGATCTCCTACTCTTTCAAACTTACTAATTCATAATTGTACATCCAAAGTTTCAGTTTCTAACCAGTTTATTTATATTTATGTGGCTTCCATAATAGGGAATAAGGCAGCAGGTCAGCACACTTCATCTTCATTACTTATCCCCACTGAAAGCTATGACACATCAGGCCAGCTGCTTTCTGACAGTGTAAAGGAAGCTTGGAGAAGACACAACTTACATTTTCAGGCAATGAAGCCCATTTATATCCTAATGTTTAAGCAATATCTGTGAAAATTAATTGAAGTTGTTTGTGTATTTTGAAAGGTACGTGGGTCAGACCAAGGCAATAGTAAGAAGGAATTTGAGAAGGTAAAAATCAGTTCCTTATTTCACATTTGAAATCTCAAATAATTTCATAACAATTCAAATAAGTGATAGCAGAATACATCCCTAAGATCATCAGCCCTTGCTTAAAACATATAATTTGTAATTTTGTTTAACTGTTAGTGCTTCATAAATTAATTTAAATGGAAGAATTCATGTGCAAGAAAGTAACAAAAACATCTCTATTTGTTGATTTTCAGTCTATCTGGCCTTCAAAATGTAAAATCATAGCTTCAAGATATGAAGAACTAGAGCAACTAGAGCAAATAACCAAAACTGTCATGCACTTAACTAAAGTAAGATTCATACTTCACTAATTAATGTGAAAATTGTCAGAGATCTATTCAGAGGTTTTCAGGGAGGATATTTTTATTTGTTTGCTCTTTTATGCACAGCAAAGCAGTAGCTCCTATCACTGTTTGAAAGGCTTTGAAGTCTACGTGAGGAAAACAGCCATCATGAACTACTTTCTGCTTTGTTATTAGCTTGAGTCAAAAAATGCAGCATTGAAAGAAGCTCTTTGGGAAGTGACTACACTAGTGCGATCCATATTTTGAAAAACGTATTTATTGTTATGCAAGAAATTCCTCCTCACCCTGCAAGCCTGCCAGAAAGAAGGCTATACTCCAGGCTGTATGAGTTGAGTATGGAAGGGAAAAAAAATAGAAGTGACTGAATCCCCTTCAGAGGTTTATAGCATTGGACTGTCTTCTTCATAGGTCAGAGATAAAAAGTGAAGGGGATTGGTAGGATGCGACTACTTTGAATGTAGTCTGTTCCTACACAAAGTGAATTTTGACTAGGAGATTTGAGAAGTACTATAAGAGAAGCACATTAAGAAATCAGAATCAACAATAGATGGTCCAGAATTCTCAAAAAATGCAAAAACTTCTGCCAATGCACAGCCTGGCCAAGGTTTTCAAAGAAACATTGAAAAGCCTCGTACAGCTCATAAAACAAACAGGGATGCCAAAAAGGACTTGGATCAGCTTAAGGCTGGGAGGGGAAGACTCCTAACAGTTCCACCCCCAGCCTGTTGAAAAGATTAAACTCTGGCAACCCAAAGTAAGACTATTGTCATTGATTTTCCCTTGGTTGCAATAATTTGGCAAGTACTTCCCAGAGGTGCAGCAAGGATTTAACTTTTACTAGGTTCTGTGGGATATCACAGCTATAGTCTGTTTGACAAATAGAGGGAGACAGAAGCAACTGAATCATCTGCTACTCTTAGTTGATGCAAAGCAAGATTTACATGACTAAGTTGTCCTTTTTCTCACATTTGGTATCTCTTGTCTGTTGGAGTTTTAATTTTTTTAAGGCAAGCTGCTCTTAAAACACAATAATAAAATAAAAATATCTATCTCATCAACTACCAGGCAAGGATAAAGAAAAGTATTAGGCTCTGCTTTAGTATGACAGGGAAGACAGTTTTTCACACGTCTTTATTCAATTATTCTCTGATAATTTTATTTGTACTAAAACTTATTAATAAAACTTACATTTTCCTTCTTCATTCCTGCACAGGACCTTGGTATCATCTGTGCTTTCTATAACCTCAAGAGACTCCCCTGGTTTAACTTGTAAGTCTTTAGGTCCCCATCTTTTCTGGGGCAAATCCTGGACTGTGGTGGTGGAGTAGAGAACTTTAATTTCACCTTCAAACTGCAAAAATCAAATAAAGAGATGCTGGTTAAAAACCATCCACATTGATAATACATTTTTAGACCAATATATTCCCATCTATTACTGAACTTTTGAAAATTAGGCAAATAATTGTTTATGCTATGTAGCATGTGCCCATGCTTGCCATTTGGACTTATAAATGCTCACTATTTTTACAAGTAGTAATACTTTACTTCTCAAAGGCAAAATAATGGGTTATTTACAAATTAGGGGATACAAATTAGAGGAGATCATACAGGTACATAAATCTTTATATTTTATGTGAACAAAACTTACTCTGAACTTTTTTCTGAACTCTTTTTCTTCTCTTTCCATCTTTTTAAACTTTTGTGCGTCTTTTTCATCTGATTTATGTTTTCCAAGGCTTGCTGATTTTGATGAACTTAAAACAAGACGTTATAGATAAAAACAAAATTAGCAACATATCTAAGGTATTGACAACTTCTCTGATAATTTTAGTGAAAATGCATTTGCCTTCATGTGTCTATAGCATTTTTGTTGGTTTATAAAACTAATATGGATAATACATATGACTTCAAAAGAAATTAAAAGTTGGGGTTGTCTTTCCTACTTCTCTCTTTTAATGAGTTCTGATGTTAATATTATCTATCACATAAGTGAATATGGCCAATTATTTGAAGTATCTATCTGGTACAGCAATGAGAACTTAACTTCTACCAAACATAGTAGATTAATGTATATGAGTGTGTGAACTAACCTAGATTTTGGTTAGGAGAGCCACTTCTTTGGATATACAGTTCAAAGAGCTTTCTCTGTTTTAATGCCCCTAGACTAGATTATTGTAGTGCACTCTGTAGCTCCACCTGAGTGGAGTTAGTGACAACAGAATGAGACATGTTGCAGTCATCTTCACAGATGCATCTGTGCTCCAGAGATGGTGATGACTTCCTGGTCCAGGGATATAAGTTTTCCAAGTTGAACTTTAGACCTCCAGATGTGTTTCATACTTACAACACAGGACACTAATGCCTTTTCTCTTAAAATACTACAGCAGCTGGGATCAAGTACTTATTCTAACAGTCCCCAAATTTTGATAGGAAAAAGACTGCATGCAGAGAATCTACAATGAGTACCTTTAGGCCATGCATTCATTTCTACCTTTTGCCCATCAGGAACTGAATTTGTTGAAATTTGAAGAATGCTTATTTATTCTATAGTCTATTATTTCAATCTGAGAATGGAGGCAGGGAGCATTCAACTGCCATTGTCAACAGTAGGGTTAGGAGAACTACAAAACCTGACACTACCAAATAAATCATAATTTAATAGCAATCTGCTTCTAGTAAATACTTTGAAAATATTTCACAGTGTATTACAGATTTCTAATCAAGGAAGTTATTCCCATTTTCACTTGCTTGAGTTCAGGTGGTGGAGGAGGGAAGTCTGAAGAATCTACGTCATCATAAATATCATTGTCTCCACAATCTGAAACAATAGTGTTTAAAAGAATGAATAATTATTATGTGATCCTTGAGTAGCAAATACATTGTGTTACAATCTATGGTAGTGTAGCTAAGTGGACAAGAAACTGTGGCAAGTACTGTAGCCATTTATCGTCTATAGTAACTGTGGGTTCTCTGTTTTACACAATGTTCTGTGCAAAACAAAGAGCAGCCAACCTTTTCAGAATAAGACTCTATTAATAATAATAGGTATTCACTGATATTTTAATCTTCTTAAGCTGAAGCAAGTTTTAGCACATGTTGGCTAATGCAATAGCCTTTAATCTTCATTTTAATTAGTCCATTTCCCACTGTGTTGCATCAAAGTGTATTTTTGGGGTTTTATGTTAATATCCACTCAGGCACTTCTGTGGCACTCTGTTCAATACAATATTGCTTACAAGTGGATATGAGTCACAATTATGTTTGTTTTTAGGCCATCTTGCAATGCCAAAGCAGTGAAAAGAATTATTACCCCAAGAATATACTTCGAATCATATTCAGCATATTTGTAGAGAGGAAGCAATTGTTCTACTCAGCAAATCAATAGCTAGAATAATCACAGTAGGAGAAAAAAGGTTTAGAACCCAGTTCAGGCAACAGCCTCAAAAATTGTTAAGAACTTGCTTTTTATTCCATGGCTGAGCTGATATTTATGAATATATATTATCTTACAAAGACACTACAAGTGATAAAAATAACAATAAGCATCACTTTTTACTTTTGAAGTCTTGCATTAAGTTTTTCTTTCCAAATGAATCTGTTCATACTTAATGTCAAATAAAATGAACTAGTGGAAATCTCACACAGAAAAATCATGACTTCTTTATAAATACATTAAATTGTTTTCTAGAGAGCTTGTTACACATTTGTATCTCCTCATCTGTAGCCAAATCAGTCACAATATTTGAAAATTTTTCACTGGAACTGGGTAAGCAATGGGAAATCCTGTTTCCTTCCTTGGATATATTTTTGTGACTTGCGTGATAGAGAGTAATGTATACAGAAAAAAGCATTGGGACTCAATACGGAGACTGAACAATAGGCTAGTAATTACCTTTTCCAAACTGCTTTGTTGAAGAAGAGATACTGGAAAGAAAAAGATACTAATTAAGTATTTATATCACATTAATATGCTTTTGCATAATTTAAATAATTTAAAAAACTTGCAACACAAGGGCTCCAAGTAACCTTCAGATGTTTTGAAGCTCTGCTGACACCAACAATACTCATGGACTAAATATATTTTTGCCACTGAATTGAAGTAAACTCATTCAGAACTGAATGAGAGAAGATGGTGGTAAAAACACCAGTTGCTGATCTAACCTCTGGGCAAGATGAGTAGAAGATAATCTTTGCCTTTTTCTGTTTGGAATATTATTCATAAAATTTAGATTAGTGGGACTAGATTTACCAGATTATTGAAGCTACATTGTACTGATGAGCAAAGTACATTTTAACTGAGGATACAGGAAACCTACATCACCAAAGTGGCACAGGGATGATGGATTATTTTGGTGCTCTTCACCAAAATTTTTTTTAATATATTTTAATTACTACACATGCAACAAATACAGCTTGTTAAGAGAGTAATTATATTATACAGGTGAAAAGAAAGGAGGTCAGTGTTTTTGCAGAAAAGTACCATCCTGAGCAGCATTTCGCTGCATGATTCATTAGGCTGCTGTGAGAACATGTTAGTAGCTTATGATCAATGCTTTATTAGAATTAGTTAATGTGCACTGTGATTTCCTGACAGTCTCTTACAACAAATCTCCATTATCTTCTGCCCCATTGACTTTGGCTGCTTTTTCTCGTACACTTTTCTTTTTGTCATCTTTGACCTTTAGTCTCTTCAAGATTCCCCAGGACCAGATACCATTCTTATCTTCATCCTGTGATACAGACCTTTGGAGTATGGATGCAATTATCACAATGTAAAATGTAACATTCTTTTTAAAAGGCCCAGTTTCAATTCTCCATTGATGCACGTAATTCTTATTAATGCCAAAGTGTATATACCACAAAGTGAGGACACCTAACGAAACGCTAAACACCAAAATGCTAAGCTAGAAATATGTATGTTAGGTCATTTGTAGACAATGAGATATATTTGTAGGTATAGATATTAATCTAGTGGCTTACTGTTTGTATGTTGTTACTCAGCAAGCTAACACTTGTTATTTTTCAGAGCTATTCCATCTAGTTGGGGATTTGGAGATTTTCATGATTGCAGCTGCTTTTGCTGACATACCAAAATTAATTGCAGAACAAAACTTCTCCAGAAGACCAGAGAAGCATTTTTTTTTTTAGCTTCACAAATCCATCCTGTTGTATATCCACTTGGTCATCATCCTAATACTTGCTAATTATTGTGTCTAATTCAAAAATACTAAAAACTGAAATAAAAACATTCTGTTAAAGAAGCAATTTATTTAAATGATATAAAAACTTACCTAGTTACAGTGTCTTCATCATCAATCCCATCATAAATTTCTTGATCAGAAGGAGGAGGAGGGAACATTCCTTTAAGAGATCAAACAGTGAATTAATGCATCTATATTTATTGCTGCTGAATAAGGTATTCACTACTGGCCTCTTAAGTATGTCAAATGTGTGTGTCATTTGTGCAATATCCTAGCAAATGAAATCTTCATGTAAACTGGCACAGCCTATTTATTAAAACAGTGATTTAGGCTTACCCCAGTTGGGAATGCCATCCACAGCATTTAACATAGCACTGCCAATCACAAGAGCATAAATACAGAAAACAAAGGCTTTCACACTGTATTTGTTGAAATTCTAAATGGCTGGTTTTGGCCCAGTCATTATGATGACTGATGACTTTTACATTTTTGTGTGTGATTTGAGTGATGATTGAAGATGTCAGACCAACACTCTCAGCAAGTCACATCTAGTGTTTATCCACCTAAGCCAGAGACAAGTGCAGCATAAGCTCCTCATTTTGGTCTTAATTCTGACCTTTGAGACCCATCTCCTTCAGTGCAGGGTTACCTCAGTTTCCATGTCCAATTCTAGCCACTGGTCAGAGTAATCACTGAAATCTGTGCTTCGCTGGCAGCAGCTTCACAGAGCACTGCCAGGGGATGCTTCTGCCATGAATAGTAGCTAAACTCTAAGCTGAGAAGATGAGCTATGCTCTTGTGATCAACAGAGATTGCTACATAAATATATGTGCTACCAAAGGGGAAACTGGGTTTGAATGTGTGTTGACAATGTGAAACTGCTGCAGTCATACTGGTTAGGACTCCAGAGCATGGCTGAAACTGAAGTTCCCCTTAACTCTGTCAGCAAAATGCAGCTTTAATCGGTAGTATTACTGGCTATTTCAGAATGGGATTTCTCCTGCACAAAACCTCTTGGTCATGTTAATACTGTGCCAATTATATCTGTGCTGTTTTGTGGGATGATTTACCTTCACAAAAGAAAAATTAAACTTTTGTCATCTTTTGGCATGCTTCTGATTCACAGTATCTGAAGACAAAACTTTCTTGCCCACATTCCCGTAGGTGGAAAGTAAGTTAATCTGACCACTATACCTCCTTGTTGGTTGCCTGTTAGCTAACATTTAGCATGCTTATGGATAATTACTGAATTATTTGGAAGCTGCAGATGTCTGAATTTGAAGGTAAGCAATACACAGAAACAATGCTCCCCAAAAAGTATATGTAGAACTTACTTCCAGCTCCACTTTGACCACCACTCTGACTGGAAAAGGAAACAAGAGACGTTTTAGAGAAAACCAATCATACTTTGGAAAGAGAAAACACCATGATCAGCCATCACTTTTGTAGTAATTAGTTGGCTTTGGCACTTGTCTACATTGCCAGCTGAGCACTACAAATTCTGCACTGGAAGCTCAGGCACATGCTCGTGTGTTCTTGTGTGTGGGCAACAACTAAATGTGCTCACATAGTTGTTCTTTTTTTCTCCCTGTTTTCACCACACTTACACCAATTTCCTACAGCCAAATAGTAGTTGCATTCTCACTAAGGCTAAAGAAAATGTGTTATCTTATTCATAAGTTAACTAGCTTTTGCATGAGGACAGATTAACTTCTAGCAGATTCAAGTAAAGCAGAAGAAAATACTCTATTTTTTTTCCCTTGGAAATAATTATAAATCAGAAAAGGGTATTTTAAAATATCATTCACAGTAATTCAAAGGGTATGAGAGAGAGAGTTATCAATATCATCTTTAGTTAATGTAAAAAAAAAAAAGGACAGTATTTTATAAGTAAAGCTGTGAAGCAAATTCTCTATTTTCATAAATCAATGCAGATTTCAAGCCAATGAAGGTGCACATTTTCCCACAAGAAAAACGTTCAGTCCTAATTTTTAGTAATTGTTAACAACTGTTAGCAATTTCCAACAAAATGTCATTTTCAAGTAAATGCAAATTGATAACTACAACTATAACAATTTACAATATTTAGAATATATTTTATATTCCCCTTGAAATCTTTAAACTAAAGCACAAAATACAACTTACGATCATAGGATAATTCATGTTGGAAGGGATCTCAGGAGGTCATGTAGTCAAACATGATGGGAATAAAAATATAATCTGACTGAACACTAAAGAGTGCATCCACACCCTTTAGATTGATCCCTTATGAGAGGATTTTCTTGAGATGAAATGGTAAACAAATGAATTTATTACCCAACTAGGTTTCACTGGGTAATGCTTTAAACCTCTAACTGCATATCTAACTCCATATTAGCCCAGTGTTCTAACAGTAATTGAAAAAAAATCTGACACATTCACAGAGCTGAATTATTTCCAGGTCAGAACCTTATTTAAACTTATACATCGAAATAAGATATTTGCTAAACTCTTGTGCCAAGAAATCCTGAAATACAATAGCCCTAGTCACTTATTAATTTTGGAATATTAACAATACTACTGATAATGAGATAATACTATTTGGTCAAGAGGCTTTTTTTAGTATGGCATTCTTCAAGTGCTTTCAAAATATGTTGATGTATGTCAGACCTTCCAACAATTCATGCTCATGAACTGAACAGAATGCTATTAATCACTAGAGAAGATAAAAATGTCAAAATACAGCTTAAAGGATTTAACAAATCTGAGCCATTCATTTGTCTCTCCAAGTTCCTCACACTATTATTTTAATATGCAGCAGTGTAAGTATTCTTGTTTCATTTTGAATTCAGTAAATTTTCTAAATTCCTTGCACTGAGGTAGTTAATTGTAATGATTGCCATAGTGAAAAAGATTGGCCAAAGATACTTCTACAATGAAGAGTCTAATGTGCAGATTACCTAAAACCTAGAACAACTAAAGCAACTGTTCTGGTTAGGTTATAATGCTGTGAGACCATGGTGCAGGGAAGGAAACTGGTATTGAGCAACCTGGAAAAATATTAGATGCAACTAGCTATATTGGTTGCTTAAAGAATCCCAGCCTGAAGGCAGATCTGTCCAAGCACTGTTTCTGGAACTCATGGGGATATTCCAGAAACAAGGGGATGAGATTTAAATCATTCACCTCGCAGACAACCCAGAAGGAAAGTAGCTGGGCAGGATAAAAGGATGTTGACATTGACCCAACAGCCAACCAACTGTGGTCCCCTTATTTCAGCCAGGCCTCTCAGTTAAGGTGCTGGGAAGAAGTAAAAGCAGGTGTAATGGCTGAGTGTTTCAAGGTGGTTGTCCTACACATTGAAATCCTCCACACACATATGCAGATCTCTGAATCCTGGGCTATGTGTTTCTGCACTTGTAATAGAGAATGGGCACTGGTTTGTTGCATCACATGACAGAAGCAGTCTTTTATGTGAGGTCAGGTAACAGGTACCACTGTCATGTTGGGTTATATGATAGCCTTGACTTCTGTCACAAGATCACCAAGATATTTCCCTGACAGCAAGTCTGATACACTGCTGGAAATGGCATTCTCTACCTAGAGATCTAATTGACATGAAAAATATGGCACATTGAAGTAGAGAGTCTGCAATGTAGCATTGCGTTGCAAACACATGTGAGAATAGAGGAGAAGCTTCTGATGAAGTCAAAACAGTGTAGCTCATACTATCTCATGGGATTTTATAGGCCTTATTTTCATAACTAAACACATTAGCCACATTCTCTCCTGAAGGGCCACCCTAATCATGCTTCCAGAAGTCCCTTCTCTTCAAAAGGAAAGAGGTAGTAAGAGTTTGAGAGCAGTGAGGGCGATCATGGACTGAGTGCAGTTAGTGTTTCCATTGCTTTTAGTGTCTTTTATTCTTGCGTGTTAGAAAAGGCGGTATGCGATTTCAAAAGAGAGAACAAGAAAAGAGATAGAGGAAAGAGAATTACACTTCCTGCAGGTGATTTGTAATCCTGCATGTTTTGCATTTTGCTCTCTTTTGGATGGTAATGTTGTAGGTCCTCTTCCAATAGAATGGATTCCTCCTGTGTATGAGTACTTGTAGGTGCTGGATTCCAGAATCCATTCTTGTTCTTTGACTACTTCAGTTTGAAGAGCTCAGTTATTTATTTCTGATATAAATGGCTGCTCTTCTATGACAAGAGTCTGTTTTGCAGTTGTAAAACTTCTCTCAAGGCTGACTGGGGTGAATCATTGGTTCTTTTTCATGTGTTCCTTATACATACCTGCTAATACTGTCCTGCTCTCCAACATCATCATATACTTCTTGGTCACTCTCTGGCTGTTTCCCAGCAGCTCTAGTAGATGATTGTTGCTTTCTTCTTAAAGAATCATAATCAATCTCCACCATGGTTGTTTTGATGTATCCATCTAAATTAATGAAACCATGTAATTAGGCAGAGGTAGCTTTAAAGCTCATGTGAAAATTATGAGTTTAACAGAAGGTTCAGAATCAGTGATTGAGTTGTTTTGTATGATCTTTGAAAACTTTAAAAGAAATGTCTAATTCCAAGCAGGCTCATCTTGAGTCTCCATCTGGCTACACAAATAAAAATCTGTTCTGTCTCAGATGTCCCCCCGTACCCTCCTTAGCTGGTGTCCAGGTATCTTCACTTTTATTTGTTCTCAGCTACAGAAGAATTTTCTGTGCAGACTGGAGGAATCATAGAGGAAGCTCCCTTTCTCAGATAACCTTGGGACCACTGCACTTTCCTGGCTTATTTTAGGGCAGCCCATGACATAAATATTCTGACAGTTCATTAGGAGGGAGAGACACCTTGCATTGATTTTGTTTCAGGTTGGTAGACACGCTGCAGCTGCATTGCTATCTTCTTGTCCCTGGATCTTCGCTAAAAGGATCTGGTTATAGCCATGGATGCAATGTCTCAGGAGAAACTTACAGCAGAGCAGTTGTCTTGAGATGGGGAACAGGTTGCCCAGAGAGGCAGTGGAGGCCCTATCCCTGGAGATATTCGAGGTCAGGCTTGATGGGGCTCTGAGCAACCTGCTCTAGTAAAGATGTCCCTGCTCACTGCAGAGGGGTTGGACTAGATGACCTTTGAGGGTCCCTTCCAACCCAATACATTCTATGATTCTATGATTCTAACTCTGTCACTGCTGAGGGGAATTTTAGACAAGTGTACTGCCTGTACAGAAGAGAGTATGAATTGATTTTCTCGAAGGTGAAAAAAGCTCATGCATTTCTTGAAAATGGAAATCTCCCACTCCATGCTTCTGAGTGAACCCAGTTTTTAGTGTGCATCCCCTCAAATCTATAACACCTTGATTTTTTTCTTTTATTTAAATGATAATAACTGACTTTCCTTGGTTGTTTGATCTTCTTCACAGATCATTACTGGCCTGTGAACATTGAAGGTTGAAGCACTGGTGAAACAAATTAAGCTGTACTGTTGACACTTGTCAGTGAGATGCCTTGCAGTTTTGCTGAGGCAAGAATTAGTTTATGAAAAGTGAATTAATTAAAGGCAAATTAATTAAATGGCCACACTTGCTCAGCCTTCTCCCAGCCTTCACCAAGATTTGTTTTTCTATATACAAAATGATCCACGCAAAAGACTTATTTATGAAACCTCAAAGTATCACAGAAAAGCTGACATTGGAACTTACCTCTTGATATCATTTTGGCCAATCTCCAGATTAAAAAAAAAAAAAAAATCTATAAATAAATTACAAAATTTCCATAGGAATAGGAGAACAAGACAAACACTTAAAACAGGTACTTATTTTCTATGCTTCTATTTTAGGAACACTCATGTTATTTTTAATAAAAAGACATTAAAAAATGTGATCTTTTTTACTTACATGGAGCCAGGTTCTGATGCTATTTGAAGGCTGACATGGAATTACCTCTCAATAGGTCTGTAAAGATCCCAAAATATTGTCCCTAACTTATTCTAGTGCCTGTAGATATTATATTATGTTGTACAATAACTTCCTACTATGAAGGAAGCCTCGTATGGCAGCTAAGGACAGGAGGGTGAGTTGTGGTAATTATTTACTTCGGTGGCTAGTGACTCAGCCTTGGTAAGGCTACTTCTTGGTGTAATGCTCACATGTTTGCTGTCATACAATGAAAACATTCAGGAGCACAGTGAAGAAACAGAACTCACAACATCCTTTTATCCTGCCCAGCCACTTTCCTTCTGGGTTGTCTGTGAGGCGAATGATTTCAATCTCATCCCCTTGTTTGACAGTCAGCTCATTCTTCCCTCCCTTGTGGTCAACACAAACTCGTGCCTGATGAAGGACTTGGATGGGTCCTGTTAACTGCAGAGAGGAAGCAACATAAGAAATCACAGATGAGGAAAAATTGAGTTATTTCCCAAACATTCAGACAAAATAGAAAAAAAAAGTAATGATAATTGTTTGTTTAACTGATGTTTAAAATAATCTAGGCAAATAAACAGAAAGGCATCACTCATGTCCTCAACTATCCAGTTTAAATTAATAATCAGCAATGAAAAAAGAAGGTAATGACATAACAATAGAGCAGCTGAAGAAGTGACCAGCAAAATCACAGAAATACAAAGACCAAAACCAACCAGCTAAACTATGGAGCCTTTCATACGTTCACAAAACAGACACATACTTAATTCCAGTGGGCAGCTCCATGTAGTTCCAGCAGAACTACTCATGAAGAAATGTTCATTAACTTCAATAATACTACCACATAATTGTGTTTACAATTCTACACTATAAATGATGCTGCAAGTACTCACAAGAGAGGATCATACTTTTTACTGGTATTCGGGATTCTCTTTGAGAGATCTTTAGTATGCATTATGGAGAAACCAGTTTGGATTTTAGTATCTGGCTTTCATTTATATGTGAATTTACAGAGGTATGTGGCTGTTGACAATTATAGACTAGCTCAGGAATATATATCCTGTATGGGTGGTGAAGAAATGGGACAGAACATATGCACTAAAATATTTGTTAACATTTAAGAATAATAACATACTTCAATGTCCACAAGACAGCAGCCTGCAGTCTGAAAGCATTCAGTGCACTAATGCCTATACTTCACAGGAGTGGTCTGAAAAATAGTCTTGGGGTCTGACAAGTGACAGCTAACCCACTATTATCAACTATTAGTATTTTCCTCCAACATTTGCTCAACTCATGTCAGTGTCTCCACAGCAGTCCAAGTCCATGATGTGAGAGAATTGCTGCGGCTTTACTGTTCACAGAGCCTAATAGGAAGAAGAACAAAGCTGCCCACTATATGCAGTGACACTGAAAGAAGCACAGTGGAGCATTGTGAACAGGCATTATTTACCAGTAAATTACTAGTAGGTTTGTAAACTGTGGTAGCATGCTGACCACCAGCTGTAAAAAAAAATTACATAAACCAGAAAGAATTGTCTCAACATTTAGCCTATAGCTAAATTTAGCTAAATCATCTAGCTTTGACAGTGACTGTAGCTCCTCTACACATGCCCTTTTCCCTTCCTCCCCATTTAGACTTGAAGGGCCTTTAGGTCCCTTTAGACCAAGGCAAAGGCAATGTGTTGCAATATAACATGGAAATCTAAGGGCTGGATGCTGTTGTATCTGACTCCAGTGAAGCAAACAACACTAAGTATATGGGATCCAATATGGGATCCAGTTCCCACTTTTGTTAAGGACTTTTGATGCCATTCTAGTGACATAAATGCTTTTTAAACCAAAAAGTGGAAGGAAATGTTTTTAAGGCTTTTTTTACATAGAAAAAGAGTGAGAAGGAAATTTAACAAAAATATATAAGCAATGAAAAAATGTCTTTGCCCTCAGCACAGAGCCTGAAGTCAAGCATATGCCAAACATAAAAGGGTAGCTTAAACATTTACTCAGGATTCATCCAGATGCTTGAACTAACCATAACAAATAGGTTTGAAGCCAACTGAAAATTGTATTTTGAACTCATCAATGCTCAATAATGCTTCTTACATGTCTTTGGCTAGATTACAAAACAAAAAGCTTACTTTGAACTTCTTCCTTATTTCCTGCTCTTTCCTTTCTTTTTCCTTTTGTTCTTTCTTCTCTTGGTCCATTTTTTTCTTTTCTTCCTTGTCGTACTTCTTCTCTTTTCCTCTTGATGATCTGAAAGTGCATTGCCAGGACTGAATGTAGCAGTGAAGCAAATCTCACTACAGCTTTCTTACCCAAGGTTAACAAAGAACTATATGTGATGGAAAAAATACTTCTCATAGTGAAATCAAAGCTTCTGATTCTAGACCCTAGTGTGGCTGCAACAGGTTGAGTAAGCAGCCCTTTATTTTGTATTACATATATGATTCAAAGTATCTGTCCTCAAGAGGACAGTATGCCTGGAAAGGTTATCTGGAGGTAAGAAACTGGTTCTATGTGTGCATGTCCAAACATCTCTGAGCTAATTTTGGCAAGTAAGCTTGGAAGCTGGTAGCAGTCTAGTTGTTGGGGCACTGGCTGCAGTTGTTAAATATTTACCCAGGCTGTCAGTGGTTGATGCAGCCTGAACTGAAGCCTGAGCTACCATCGAACTGTAGTTTTAAACCTAATTGCAACCTGTTCCAGCAGTCTACACAAATGCAGACAGACTTCTGCATTGCATCCTAAATATGCCTGTCACACCAGGGTACATTGCCTGCTGCGCCTCCTGTACTGGATGGTACTGACATCTGGGCCCTGGGATATAATTGGGACTATAGCTACAGCTCTGTCGTTCGCTGGCAACAGTGCTATGCTTTACAAATGGTATGGAACTGATTGAGTGAGTCTGCCACCTCTTCCTTTTTTGGTACTTTTGCTAAACTGATATTTTCAAATTACATTAAAAAAGAGACTGAATAAGGATCACTTGTTTTGGTTATATAGTCTTAAAATTATCTCTTTTCAAAGGGAATTCAACAATAAATTTTTGCTGAAAGTCATTCTATATCTGAAACAATGAATTTTTGTGTAGGGACTTTAGATTGTTACTTATTCCAAGGGAATCAGAGCTTTTCTTTGGCTATTTTCATACAGTGAATCTCATACATTTAGACATTAGCAGGCTAAGAGACTCCTCAAAGTAAAGGGTTAAATGGAAGAAGAATAAGCAGAGATCACATTCTGGCTCTGTAGCTATGCTAGGGGACTTGGGCCATGAGAACTGTAAATCCAGACTCTCATAAAAAGTTCTAAATACATTTATCTAGAAAGTAAGAAAAAAACCCACAGCAAAAGATCTATCTGGGATCACAGTACTTAGGGGCTGAGCTTATTTTTCCTCCTAGGCTATAATTCCAAACAGTGATTCAGACATGTTCTTAGATCAGAAATCAGACTTCTGATATCTAGATCGTGCTAACTACATGGTTTTATTGCAGGAGTTTTTCCAGCCCAGGGCATAGCAGATCTAAGTAGGAAAGAACCTGTGAACAACTTGACTTTCTGTAGGTGAAATGAATGAACACAATAATGCCTGGCAGGGACTGCAGTGGAATCACACTTTTGTGCCAGATGAAGTACTTTGTTAGTAAGATTTTAGTAATAAGGATACAATAGATTATAGAGTTTAAAATTACTACCTTATGTCATTTATGTCTTCATACATCTCTCCATCACTTTCTTGGCCCTATAAGAAAAATTCAGTTTTCAATGGCCTAGATATATTTGGAAAGACACGAAGAAAATGGACCTACTATGTAATCTTCATACAGACTGTATAAAAATATTTACAGCAAAATGTAAATATGAACCCATTTAATCTTCCCAAATCAAGTTACTACATTATTCAAGCCCACTATTCTTTTTTTGACTTTCTTTTTATAATACCACAACTACAATGTCCTAGATTTTACAATCACACTAGCAGATTGCTTAATCCAAAGCGGATGTTTTAATTACAATGTTAGTCCTGGAAGTCTTTATCTATGTTGATTGCACCACGGTGATGAAGGTACCAGGGTTAGCAGTAGTTAAACTGGAACACTAGGGACCTAAATGGGACTCAGATTAGGGTCCCAGAGGTTGTTTTAGTGCTAATACAGCCAGGTACTTAAAGACAAGATACAAACGTGTGCTTAACTGAAATAAGTGGTTTATTACTGGAATAGAATAGGGCCCTTATGTCTGGAAAATTTCAGTGAAATGAAATGCCAGTGGAAATAGAAGGGGTGGGTTTACTTTTTTAAAAATCAATTTTTGGTGTCTAGCCAGCTTTGATAATTAATTCCAGTTTGCTCTGTTTACCCAGTCTTATTTCTGTCCTTCACAATAAGTAAGTGCTTCTACAATTTACTGTCAATATACTGGATTTATTCTGCAATTAATTTTCTAATGTGTTGAAGGCATTTTACTAAATTTGTAAGTTTGTTCTGAAAAAGAATGTTTTACACTTACCCCCTCTGTATTTCCATGACCTATATGACAAAAAGATAAAAACAGGTTATTTATTTTTTGCTGTACAGAAAAAAATTAATTCTAGCATTAACTATTTACAAACTGCTAATAATACCTAGAAATATGTGCAGGCTCCTGACTTTTAATGAGGGTATGAATACAAAAATCAGAGTTTTTCTAGGTTGCTTTTGTTGTACACTGTAAACTAGAAATATCTACAATACAGCATATTTCACCATGTATTTTTAAAAGTGGAAAATTGGTTTTAAAGATTCTTTTGTGACATTGATGAATTTACCTATGCTATTTGTTTACAAAAACATCTATTTATACAAGAAAGTCATTGTCAAAAACCTAATAAATCCAAACAGACCTCAGAGACCTTGCTTGTACCAGCCCAACAGCTGAATAAGGAGGCCAAAGGCTCTTTTACTAAACCAGCTTCTGCTCTGCTTCCTCCTTACTCTGCAGGTAGTTAGGTAAGAAAAGAGCTTGGTCTCAGTTTCAGCTCCACAGCCCATACTGCTGTATGGCAGGGATGGCTAGCACACTAAGCGATGCGTGCTGTGCCTGGCACAGACGGAGTCCTCTTGAGGAGAGATCAGAAGGCAGATTGAAATTCTTTGTGTTACAATCTGCTTCTCTGCCTTCTCCTGGTACAACATAGCGACTCACTGCCTCTTATTGAAGGCAGACCACAAAGCGACGTTAAAAGCACATTCATTTTTTTTTTTTCCAGTCAAGTATAAAACAATGCCTGCTTCACCAGAACACACAACTTCAATTCTGAAAGGCCAGCATTCATTTTGGTTCAGATTTGAAAACCTGGTAATTTACAGTCTCAGCATATTTCTAATCAAAAAAAGCATGGGAGAGGGGATACACTTAAAGCAGTTCCTGAGGGTCTATCATATTAATTATAGAACAGTTAGTGTAATAAGACAACTGTCTTCACCCATAAAACTGCAGAATCAGCATAATTAGTTACAAAAGTCACTCATGAATACAATATGCTGTTGCTTATCTTTTAAATACAATATGTTTACAGCTTCATATAGCTGCTATTAAATAAAATGTAGGCATCTTACCCTGTGAAACAAATTCAACATCATCATAATTTTCTTCATTGTCTGGACTTCTGTAAATATGAAAAAGTGGACATGTGAAACCTATGAAGGTGACTGTATGATTGCGTTTTCATTCACCATTTCTCTGGTGCTTTTTTTCAGCTATTTTACACAATGGCTGGACAGTTTGTTGAGCCCTTTATGCTACTTCAGTACCCATGAGATTCCCTAAATTATTCTTTCTGACTGCAACTTGTTTTTTCACATGGGGACACTTTGATCCTGAGTATAAAAGGAGAAAATGAGTGAAAGCGAAAGGCACTCAGATACCATGGAGATGAGTGTGGTATGAAAAATATAATAGGCAGAGGGGCTGGCTGAATGGAAAGAATCTGTTGGGCTTTTTAGCCATCTTTGCTGGTACAGGTGTCTTATACAACACACAAGCAGGATGCAAGACTTTTGCCCACTGTTAAATATAGCACTAAGACTTGCTCCTTGACTTGTAGAGCTTAAGGTCTAAACAAGGGACAAGAGAAACAGTGATGTAAGGTTAGGCCAGGTAAAAGGTCTCTGTTGTTTTTAGATTTAAAAGTGCTTTCAAACTGAGAGAAGCAAGAAATTGGGAATGTAAGTAATAACAACATCAGGGACTTCTAACTTTATAAAACCTTAAAATATTTGAAAGAAAACTAGAGCTGACAGTTATTATCAAAGAGGTGTAATCAAATAAAGGACTTGAAAGCAGAAAGTGATCCTTTAAAATTGGCTTGATGGAGAAAGCACCAAGGCAGGGTGAAAGAAAATGTGTCAGCACCCAGGCACATATTTTCAGCAGAGGGGAGAGTCCAGAGGGCACGCAGCAACGGGAGAGCAGAAAGACAATCGGGAGGTATATTTTGCAAGTCCCTGAAGGTAAGAGGATGCACTTGACTTACAAGTATTTGGCAAGGAGGGTACCCAGGAGGACTGCTCCTGCTGCAGGGCCCGGCGCTGGGCTCTGTGGCTGCAAGATAGGGTGGTGATGGTAGCTTCCCAAGGCCTGGGCACCTTCCCTGCAGCCCCAGCACAGCAGCAGCAGTGCTGGGCTGATATTGTCACACCATCCATACCAAAATACACGATGTGTGCGGACACACACCTCTTTAATGCCTAACATGACGAAGCTCTTGCTGCAGTTTGACAGACAACCAGTGCTGAGCTCAGAACCTCTGGCTTACAAAGTTCTTTGCTGGGGTATTGACTGATAGACCTGCCCCTCCTGGCCCTCTTCTCCCAGAAAAATGCAGGACAAAGCTTCACTTGTTGATATAACTTATTTTCTACCAGTGTATGACGTTTTTGTACCTTTCCAGACTAAAAAACCCAGAGCGGTGTCTATTCCCTCTTCCCTCCCCTTACCAATGGGGTAGAAAAAAGTTTTGTTATAGCTAAGACAATTTAGAGAAACAAATGAATAGATGAACGGTTCAAGATAATAAAATCTAATTCCAAACAGGTCAGGGACAGGATAGGACAAGGAAAGAGATATGAGACCTCACTCGCCAAGAAATCTGGGACACCTGCAGCCTTAATCTGCTGCTGCATGAGCAAAGTAATAGGCAGAAAAAGGTGGTAAAATAAAGAATTTAGGGTTTACATTCACTTACATTGTTTCAGAGCTGACCTTGATGTTTCTGGGAGGCAGGCTGGGAGCTGCTGGGGGCTGCAGGGATGGGTGAGAGGCTGGTGGAGGAGGTGGAAACTGCGTAGCACAGTGCGGTGGAGGTACAGGTGGGGAGAGTGCTGCTGAGGAAGGTGCTATCTGTTTCAAACCTTCATTTTTAGGGCCTGAAAAAAAAGCAGAACAGACTGAATTTAGCAAGCAAACAGCTGAGGAAGGAACCTCATTGTTTACATGAAGTATTAGGATAAAGTATCAGCACTGCACACACCCCAGAGCAAATACATTTTTTGAACCTGCCTCTTGGATACGTTTAGTGCCTTATATTAACAGAGTAGAGAGGCTCTGCCTAGACGAATGTACTGCCTGTAGAAGGCCTTGAAAATGTCTTTGCTGAAACACAATCAAGACACAAAAACATCAGCTCACCCACCATATAAACTCTTGTGCTTTAAAATGGAATTGTCATTTAATTCTACCGTTTGCTTGGAAAGACCAGCTGCAAAGTTCCACATGAGCACTGATGTAGTCTTGCTGGAGTGTTTCTTGCTTAGAGTTTCAAGGGAAGGGATGAGAGATGAAAAGTTATTTTGGCATTGATTAAGAGGTGTACAGGTCTCTGTATATCTTCAACTGTGTTTTGTAACATTAAGTTGTAAAAGGCTAATTTTCTAGTGAGCCCATACTAGAAAAGTGGCAGTTTGAGAAGCTGCGCAGAAGCTACACCCTCAACAAACAGCTGCAGCCTTAAAAACAAGATGATGCAGTGCACCAGGCACTGAACCCATAATTACATGAGTGGGCTGGCATGCATGTGTGCTGCACTGTATTCATGCTCTGTGTACAAGCCACAACCAAACCATAGCAGCCATTGCTTTAAGAGGTCATGTTGAGAAAAGTTACTCAACACAACCAAATTAAATCACTGCTTGGACACTGATATGATGTTAAACCCAGAATTTTGTTTCAAGTATCATAAGCGGATTAAAAACTACCAGAAAGAATTGTCTCTGGATGTATGGAGAGAATTCCAACAAAACCTAAGGAGAGGAGGGCAGAAGGAAAAAGCAAATTCACAGTTTGGTTAAAACCAATTGCAAACAAAAAGAACTCCCTTGCCTTCTGGAGATTTTCTGCAAGTTCACACCTGTATAGGGGAGATTAAAATCTTATCAATAAAAATAAACTTTCACCACATTGGAAAAAAGTGCCTCAAACACAGAACAACAAATATTTAGTAACAGTTAATATCAAAACAGAAAGTTACAAAAATTACTGAAAGAGTATTCTTTAGCTAGTTGTGAGTCTGAAATTCTGTTCTTCGGACGAACAGGAGAAGGGCAATTGATAACTATTAGAAGGACCTTTCATGTGTCACGTGGAAATCAAAGGGAAATTACCAAGCCTTTACAGTTTTTGTGCTTACTAACAAAGAACTCAAAAATTTTCTTGATAAATTTGGCTTCATGGCTGCTTGGAGTGACTTGTCAACACAGGTGCATTTGAAACCTGCTAAATTCCTCCATAACTTAAAGAGCAAAGTACTAAAAGTCCCAACACCGCTGATTACACAGATTAATTCTCTGGTGTCTTTGTTAAGGAAAATTAATTTTGCAAAAGTAGACCCTTACTATTTAAGATATGCCAAGATTAAAGTTGTATGGTATCACATATATTTTTATTCACATATCTTTTTATCATTTTATTCAAAAGCATAGCCCAAAAGTTGACTGAAATATCCTTTCACTTAGTACTGAGGAGGCTACAGCAGAGTTAATGTGTCCTAGATGGAGAGAGCCCAAAGGAGAAGAGTGAGAATGACTAGAGGTCTAGAAAAATGAATTCCTGGAGATATTGAACAAATGGTGGTTGTTTACGGAAATATGATAAGACTGAGAGAGAACAAAGGAATACTGAAGTCTCTGGCAAAGAAGAAAGGGATATTTTTTTCTTTCATTTCCAAGATGGAGAAGGCAAGAAGTAATGTGTTTAAAGGCCAGAAACATTTGTTAGAAGGCACTTTCTAATAATGAAGGTGGAATTTTTATGGCTTGAGGGCCATGTTTAAGAAGTAGGATAAACTTATGGCACAAATATGTTCTAATACAGTTGTTCTTACCCTACATAGATGGACCCAACAAGTTCTCTATGTACCTTCCAATTCAATGTTGATTTCCTCTGTTTGTTGTCCTATATTTTACAAGACATCACATTTAAAATACTTTCTCTATATTGAGCCCAACAGCGAGAGATCCACTAAAATACCATTTTTGCCAAAACTTGTCTTCCAAAAAGATGTACCACATGTTTGAAAACAAGTGAAAGAATGTATTATTACTAAGTTTGTTTGGTTAAGTTCACTCACTGTTAAAATCTGCATCTTATTGTTTTCTAAGTCAATCAAGCTTCAGGTTCTATTACTTTTATTTCTACCTTTGTTTACGAGATCAAGTCTTTTTGTAACCACTGTCTTCTACCCACAAAGTATTGATACCACTGAACTTAACCAATATCTCAGATTTTTTTTTAATGACTTTAAAGACCCATCCTTTTAAATCTCATGTCACAACATTCTTTTTTTTTTTTTTTTTCCCCCATCTAGCAATTAATTTATAGCTATTTCAATAATTTCTCCAGCTTTTCCAGGACTGTAAAAAATCTGGCACTGGAAGTCTACACAGCATGCACTTGTCAGCCACATGCAGTGATGAAAATTACAAGTCATTCTTCATTGGCCATATCTCTACTGATTGCAACCAAGGGATTTCAGTATCTTCTGCGATTGTCATCCATCCTTCTGTTTTGGAAGTGCAGACACCTGAATATCAAACTAAGACTCCTTAGCAAAAAGCTTTCATTAAACAACTTTGTAACTATATGAAGATTCCTTAAGAGTAAAACTCCAAGAATTTAGGATTACAGGCTGACAACCACTGTGCATCAGACTTTTATGTCCTTACTCTGTCCTAATGTCCTTACACTGTCCTTACTCAACTGTAGAGCTGTTTATGATATGCAGATTTTTTCCCAAGGCATTACACTACCTCATTTCGCAGGTATGGTTTACATTTCTTCATTCTACACGTATATTTGCATTTGAGCAAAGACAAACTTTGTTTAAATGAGCCAAGATTACACATGATTGTACTCTTGTATCTGAGTCTCTGAGGACTGTGTGTTCACATCTAACTCTTCAGAGTCTTTATTCATCCACAGACTTTGTCAGCTACAATCTCTTATTGTTTTAAAATCCCTGATAAAGATTAATAGCATTGACAACATAAACATGTCTCTGCAGTTGAATTATTTTAAGCAGATTCTAACCAAATAAAGAAGGCAGAAAGGTTTGGTAGTTTGTTTGGTTGGTTTTTAATTTTTACTTTTTCATAAAAGCATGTTAATTGTTATTAATTATACTCTCAAATTTTTATGTTTTAACAGGGAATCCTATATCAGCTTCTCTGTGATTGTATTTCTGTTGCCCTAATACATTGTTGTGTATATGCACAACATGCATACATACATTATGTCAACATACAGCTTTAATTCATTGTGATTGCTTTGTAGGACTAAAGTAAAAATTCTGCCTAAGTTTCTGTACATAATACTTCTTTCATCTGATGTCTCTTGAGAGCAAAATCCAGGCAATAGGAACTGAGCCAGGAAAGAACATCCCATGCATTTTAGATTAAGTGTTTATTTTTAAGTATAGAGGCTGAACAACCTGTCCATTTTAATTTATGTACATTGCTGGAATCTAACAATAACTAAATGATTATCATACATGCTTTTTTATTTTCTAACTATTAGAACTGACTTCCCTCTACCTTTAGAGTTGTAGTTACTTACACTTACACTGACTGAGACTGATGTGGGTGTAAACTGCTTTAATTCTAATTCTGAAAATAGTGGGATGAGCTAGGTAGGAAGGTGACATTCAGTATGAAAAAGCTGGCCTAGTCAGACCTGCAGATCCAAAGCTATCTTTATGTTTCAGAAGTGTTTTCTTTCCTATTTTAATGGCGCATTTAATTTTGACTCCAGTTCCATCTGTTTGTGTCTCTAAGACACCTGAGAACAGAGAAAGACTCTGTGCTAGTAGTGGAACTGAAGTCAGCTCTGGACACTTAGAACAAGAAATCAAATTGAAACTACATTCTGGCTTAACATGCACCCAAAGCACTCTCATCACAGGAAACAGTGTTAAGGACCATCGCTGTGTGGTAGCTTTGACCACTAACACCTAAGTTTCCAAATAGCCTCTCCTCCCTTCTTGAGACTCTCAGCTTTTCACAGGCTGTGCTACACTGAAGAAACACATGCAGAAACTGAAGCTCTTCACAAAGAAATGAAAGATCAGATGAAAAGGAATGAGTTCCTCAAAACCTGTGCAGCTGTACAGCAGCTAAAATAAACTGTCCATAGAAAGTACAAAATATCCCATTATACTGCTGCTTGTGGTATTAAACTTCTTTAATCATGCCCAGAGCTTCAGCACTTATAGCAGAACTGCACACAGAATGCTGCAAACACTTCTCTTGTGTTCTTGGTGAACCTTCTCAAAGCACCCTGTGGGGGTCCCCATCCCTGTGCCTGAAGAGGTCTGTGACTTTCTGGGAAACCTGCATTGGAACACCTTATTCCTGGGCTCTTTTAGTCCCTGGGAGAGATTTCATGCTGGAAAG